CAGGAGCCTTGGTGGCACTGGCACTTCCGTGCCAGGCCACTAACCGCAAGATCTTTGGTAAGATGAGGCTGTTTGCTTGCTACTGTAAAGACTGACAGTCTCAACAGTGAAAGCCCACAATCCATTTACAGCGCCCCCGCATGGACTTTGTCTATTAAATCCCCTTGGTCCATTGACCAAGAATAGCAATAGTCGAAAAAATAAAGAATAAAGTGTTAAAATAAAAAAAAAAAAGAAACGGAATAGTCTTGCCCCCAAACAGAGTGCACTGGAATGTGGAATACTGCAGCTATGGTTAGATAACAATTAACATCGTATCATTTGTTTTTCCTCTTAATCCGTTTTCAATTCGGTCTGGTCTTTACTGCATTCTGCTAGCTTTTGGATTGAAGTTCTTCTGTGGTTTATTCTGTTGTAGTGTGTAGTTGTTGGTTTTGTTTGTTTGTTTTTACTTGAATGATTTTATTTATATGAAACTCGCAATAGACAAATCTGTAGAGACAGCAACTTCAAGAAAGGTTGAAGGGAAATGGGGTAATAATAATAATGGGTACAAGAATAAACATATTAATGGATACAAGAATGCAGAAAATGTTCTAAAATTGATTGGGGTGATGAATACACAACTCTCTTTAATGTACTTAAACATTGAGTTGTATGTTACCTGAATTATATCTCAATAAAATGTTAAAATGTTTTTTAAATGAAGAAAGTATAAGCACTTATAAACATAATGTAGGAGAAAGAAGGTGAGATGTGTGTGGAGGAATTTATGCAAGCAATATTGCTGAAAATAAATGAAAACTGACCAAAGGACAAAAGCTAATGAGAAGACTCAAAAAGTGGATGGAAATCTATTGTACATTAACTTCATTATTTCCTCTATACAATGTTGCCAGATACTCAGCTTTAATAGTGGTGAGAGATAGTCCTTGCCTTCCAAAAATAGACAAATTATAAGAAGAGAGAAGATACACGTGGAAGAGGGGAGTAAGACTATTTATCAACTCTATATAAAAGGCATAATTTAAAGAAACTATGGATTAAGGTATCAGTGTTTTTAAAAAGTGATCATAAGACCTTGGAATTGACTTGATGGCAGTGAGGCCCCAACCAGTGTAGTTCAATGTGGACACATTGTCCTTGAAGAAGTACTGGAACCACTCACTTGGAAGACAGCCATTTGGCCAACTGACTGGAAGAGATCCATATGTTTGCCCATTCCAAAGAAAGGTGACCCAACTGAACGCTCAAGCTACAAAATGATAGCATTGATGTCACATGAAAGTAAAATCTTGCTTAAGATCATCCAACAGTGGTTATAGCGTACACTGCCAGGGAACAGCCAGTGGTTCAGGCCAGATTCATAAGAGGACGTGGAATAGGGGATAGCATTGCTGATGCCAAATGGATCTTGGCTCAAAATTGAGAATGCCAGAAAGATGTTTACTTGTGTTTTATTGACTGTGCAATGGTATTTGACTGTGTGGACCAAAATAAACTGTGGATAACCTTGAAAAGAATTGGAATTTCAGAACACTTCATTGTGTTCATGAGGAACTTATACACGGATCATGAGGCAGTTGCGTGAACAGAACACAGTTTAAAATCAGGGTGGTATCCTCTCATCATACTTGTTCAATCTAAGCAGTGATAAGAGAAGTGCTATCAGGATGGAAGGAAGGCTTATTAACAATCTGCAATATTCAAGTCTTACAACCTTGCTTGCTGAGAGTGAGGAGGAATTGAAGCACTTGCTGATGAGGATCAAAAGTGGTCACCTTCAGTACGGCATATACCTCAGCAGAAAATGAAAATCCTCCCAACTGTATCAATAAGCCATATCATGACAAACAGAGAAGCTATTGAAGTAGTCATAGATTTCACTTTCATTGGATCCACCATCACCACTCAAGAAGGCAGCAGACAAGAATTCAAATGACATTGGGCGAATCTGCTGCCACAGACCCCATCAATGTGTTCAGAAGCAAAGATGGCACTTTGAGTACTGAGGTGCATCTGACCCAAGCCATGGTCTTTTCAACTGCCTTCTAAACAGGTGACAACTGGACAATGAACACTGAAGAAGAATCTATGCCTTTGAATTATGGTGTTGGTCAAGAATATTAAATATACCACGGACTGCCAGAAGAATGATCAAGTATCAGAAGATGTAAAGCCAAAATGGTACTTCAAAGCCAAAATATCAAATTCATTGTCAATGAGTCAGCTTTTACTTATAGAAACACCATTATAGGGCAGAGTAGAGCTGTCCGTTAGGGTTTCTGAGGCTGTAAATCTTTATAGGAGCAGAAAGGCTCATCTGTCTCCTATGGAGAGGCTGGTGGACTTGAACTGTTGACCTTTCAGCTTGCAGTACAGCTCACAATCCAGTATACTACCAAGGTTCCTTATAATGGTCTTTAGAAGCTAGAATATCAAGGTCTCATAAACCGTTTATCAGGAGGGACCAAACCAAAGCAACAACAACTCCTAGTGACCCTCCCTGGAGAGGGTAGAACTGCCCTTGTGAGTTTTCCAGACTGTAACTCTTCACAGGAGTCAAAAGTCCCAACTTTCTCTCACGGAGGGCTGCTGGTTTTGAACAGTGAATCTTGCAGTTTGCATTCCAATGTATAAACGCAAGGCCACCAGGGCTCCTTACTCAGGAAGGCCCTGCCCCTGGAAAATGACATCATACTTTATAGAGTACAGTGTCAGCCCCCAAAGAGGAAGACCTTCAAAGAGATGGGTTGGTGCATGCGCGGCAGCAATGGGTCCAACATGAGAACCATTGTGAAGGTGGTTCAGGACGGTGCTGTTTGCTTCTGTTCCAGCTCTCACAACAATAGCATTTTATAGGGCAGTTTCAGAATTACAGAAAACTGAGCCGAGGGAGTTTCCATTTAACCTTGGTGGAAATGGCACGTGCCACGCCTGACTTCCCCTGGCTACACCAGCGGGAAGGAGAATCCAAGGCCATGTCAGCCCAAGGGTGGGTCCTGAGACACAGGGGGCCTGACGGCAGAGTGGGCCTGCTCTGGGCTGATCACCACCAGGTTAGCGCGGGAACACCCCCCTCACCACCACCCCCCACTACCCCCACCCCCGGTGCTGCACAGGAGAAAGTGCAGGCTTCCACGACCATAAAGATGCGCAGTCTTGGAAACGCACAGGGCAGTTCGACCCGGGCCTCAATGGTCAGTCTGAGCCAGACTTGACTCGATGGCCAGGAGTTTTTGTTTGAGAGATCAAACATGCTTCCACCCTCCGAACAGCAGCGAGGTGCTATGGTAGGCCCAATCTTATTTCAGGGAAAACACTCTTGCTCTGGCAAATGTAGTGTTTTGAGGAAAAATAAAGAAATGCTTTAATTTAGAAGTGTACCTGACCAAAGCATGTTTGAGAAAAATGGTACACGATACTTTCCTCTCAGAAACACATGAAGAATACCAACCTACTAAAAACTGAGAAGTCCCGCAGTCAAGAGATCTATCTACTTTTGTTCTTTTCTCAAATGTATTTAGTAAAGAGATTGCCCCCTGCAGAAAATGCAGATAGGCCATCAGTGCCTGCCTGGGCTCTTAGCCCATGGTCTTGATTGCAGGAACTGAACTCCAGTCTTTCCCAGGGAAAGTAAGCATTTAGGTAAGCATCCTCTCCCGCTGGCCTGTCGCTAGTCTATGCCTGCCCAAACCCTTAGCACCCTTAAGTAAGAATAAATCCAGGAAGACGTGAACTCACAATTCCAACTATCAATCATGTCCACCCCAGAGATATAATAACAGCAGCGTAGTGAGTTGTGAGACATTCTCCAGAGATCTCTGCAGTCTCCACCCATGGAAGGGTCACGCTAAGTGGCCACCTTTAATGCCTTCTGCTTCCTTCAGAAAAGGAGAAAGGCTCGGTATGTCGTAGAAACAGTCTCACTTCTAGAAGCTGGAAAAGAAACTCTTTCTTTTGAAAAAAAAAAAAAGCAGAACATTACTTCAGAGCTTTGCAACCAAGGTGCTGGGTGGGGGTTGGGGTGGGAAGTGTCTAGCGTGGCTCCCCCTTCAGCACTTAGGGTCATGGGATAGGGCCAGAAAAGTACAGCAGTTGCCTCTAGCTACACACAGGTTTTCTCAGGGTGTGATACAAATAGTATTCTATTTCATGCTAACAGGGCATGAAAAAGATCGAGAAGTACCCTGATGTGCTCAGGATATTTGTGTACTGACTCACTCTTCTTAACTTGCAAAATAACTAGATAGGTGGAATAAACAACGCATCGGAAAATGAACATGAAACACACATTTTAAACAACATTATACATAATTTTTATGAGATTGAAAACATTTTAGTATAGTTATCTAATTATGTCACAAGGAATATATAAAATATTTGTAAAAGGGGTCATTTTATTCCTAAAATAAGTGTGAATGGTACCATAATAAAAGGTGACAATTCCATACCATTTCATCTTAAACCAAAAGAAATAGCCACGAAAACTTCTATATGACATGAGCTATTGAAAAGCCTTTTTTTTTTCATTTTATTGGGAGCTCGTACAACACTTATCACAATCCATACATCCATCCATTGTGTCAAGCACAGTTGTACATTTGTTGCCCTCATCATTCTCAAAACATTCGCTTTCTACCTGAGCCGTTGGTATCAGTGCCTCATTTTTCCCCTCCCTTCCTGCTCCCACCTCCCTCATGAACCCTTGATAATTTATAAATTATTATTATTTTGTATCTTGCCCTATCCGACGTCTCCCTTCACCCACTTTTCGGTTGTCTGTCCCCCAGGGAGGAGGTCACACACAGTTCCTTGTAATCGGTTCCCCCTTTCTACCCTACCTTTCCTCCACCCTCCCGGTATCGCCACTCTCACCACTGGTCCTGAGGGGCTCATCTGTCCTGGATTCCCTGTGTTTCCAGTTCCTATCTGTACCAGTGCATATCCTCTGGTCCAGCCAGATTTGTTAGGTAAAATTGGGATCATGATAGTGGGAGGGTGAGGAGGAAGCATTTAAGAACTAGATTGAAAAGCCTTTTGAATATTATAGTCCATAGAATTCAACCTGCATTTGATTATATAGTAAGATTTATTAAGTACAATATTGGCAAAATGGCATGTTACCAGGAGGATATTATTAAAAAGCCTAAGATTATTACCAAGCACACAAAAGCAATTGAAAAATATAATACATTGAGCATGATAGAACAGCATTTTAAAGCTAAAATTGATAGTATATTGTTTACACAAGAATTCATGATAGGGGAATTTTTATTGATTAATAAAAGGCTAAGTCAGTGAGCATGTTTAATGGGATTATGTTACCAGAAGAATCAAATGGATGCTTTTCAATTACTGCCTAATAGAGTACGTGAAACTCAACCCATCAAAGAGACACACTTTTGACAAACTATCTGCATTTTCCAAGTTTACAGAACAATTCTCCCTGCATATTAAATCTCACATTTACAGATTTTCACACATTCCCTACACTGAGGCAAATTTATGACTTATTTCTAACACTTTAGGTGAAGAAATATATTAAAATCAAGAATTTACATTCATCAAATATCCATCTGTCTTCTACATTAGGTATTCAAATCTTCCCTAAAACATGTACATCCTTTTGCTGTAGATATTCAGACTTAAAATTAGGACATGCATGCATTACCCATGGCTTATACAGCCCATATGTACACAGATATCACATCACATTGTTTTTAATGGACCTGTGCAATGCTCTTATTTTATTTCATTCGTTTCCCTGAGCTTTATCCATTCCCATTTACAGTGCCCTCTCTATAAAAAATGTCCACTCAAACATATCTAATGAATGTCGCAACGTACCTGAATTACACTCTGAAAAATAATATTTTTGTGTTTAAATTTATATAAATTATTGTCCTATAGAACTCATTCTCTCATTCCAAGAGCTATCCTTATTACAATATTAATGATTAACTACTTCTTATCACTATGTTATATTTTATTGAATGTTCACAACAACATTCTGATGATGCATTTCCCAAGGGGTGAAAATCAAAATTGCTTGCAACTTCTTAATCCAAATAATGCCATGATATATCATATACATCCTCGAAATATGCAGTCATGTTTCTCCCACATGGTTCTAGATGCAAGTTCAGGTTCTGATGTCACAGTTCTAATGGATCCTTGAAGACATCAACAGGAAAGCTGTTTAAGTCTTAATCTGCCTGCTTTTGGAATCAGAGCAGAGGTCTACTCTGCTGAGCAATGCTTGTCTGGGGAGTTCCTGGCTTCTTTTTTTTCCTCAGCTCCTCCTTAATTTCGAGAAGCCAATTCCATTTGTCAAGCACATAGATTGACAGGAAAACAGTCTTGATTTATCCATGCTAGCAATGAAATTATTATTAGTATCCACAGGGAAAAACAACAACAACCTTATTAATATCAACTCATAATGACCCTACTGGTCTGAGTACAACTGCCCCTGTGGGGTTCCAAGACTATCATTCTCTTTATATTTTTATTGACTGTAATTCTTTTCAATAAATCATTTTATTTCAGGCTCTTACAGCTCTTATAACAATCCATTCATCAACTGTATCAAGCACATTTGTACATACGTTGCCATCATTTCCAAAACAGTTTCTACCTTAACCCTTGGTAGGAGCTCCTCTTTTTTTCCCTCACTCCCCGACCCTCCCACCCTCATGATCCCTTGATAAATTGTCAATTATTATTACTTTCAAATCTTACACCGTCCACTGTCTCCTTTCACCCACGTTTCTATTGTTCATCCCCCTGGGGGGGTATACTTCAATCATTGGGCTCGGTTACCCCTTTCTCCCTGTGTTCCCCCCACCTCCCCATACTCTCATGGTATCGCTACTCCTATTATCTATCGTTCCTGAAGGGTTTATTTGTCCTGGATTCCATGTGTCAAGAGCTTTTATCTGTACCAGTGTACATGCTCCAGTCTAGCTGGATTTGTAAGGTAAAACTGGCGTCATGATAGTGAGGGGAAGGAAGCATTAAAGAACTAGAGGAATGTTCTGGTTCATTGGTGGTATACTGCGACCTGGCTGGCTCATCCCTTCCTTGTGACTCTTCTGGGAGGGGATGTCCAATTGTTTACAGATGGGCTTTGGGTCTCCACTCAGGCTCCCCTCATTCGATATTACACTGTCATTCTTTACAGGAGTAGAAAGTCTCAAAGCCTCATCTTTCTCCTTTAGTGCAGCTGGTAATTGCAAACTACAGACCTTGTACTTAGCAACCCAGTGTGTAACCTACTACACCACCAGGGCTCCTGGGTTATTTCAAGAGTCGTGGGAAACTGTGAGACTCTTCCCGTTAGACTGGCCAACTAACACACCCAAATGACTAACTCACAGAACTGATCCGGTTGAGTGTGAGCAGGAGTCATGGGCATAATTTCTCATCCATGACCTTGGAAATTTGTTTTGGGTTGTACGCTGTGACATCAAATCCCACCACCTGGAAAACCACATTCTGCGGCAGTTCTGCCAAGCTTATCAGTCATCCTACTCAAAACGCACTGCCATACAGTCCATTCTGGGCATATGGGCATTTTAAATAGACACCCCTGGGTCATCTTTGGTGAAAAATGTATATGTCTGCCAACAAGTCAGATGTGACTATGGGGGTTAACAGGAAAAATTACAAAGTCTGTGATATAAAAACCATGTCAAGTAATTCACTGCACCACAGACTTTGTGCCAACCTGGCCAATAGACACATGTGGGATTAATAAGGTTGCAGTTTAATTGTAAGGTAAAGAGATAAATGGATTGGAGAGTCTCGCCTGTCCGACTCTTGCACTCTGACCATCAGACCAGTGTGTGGCTGCCTTAGTTAGTTCTCTGTCTCCACTTGGGAGCTACACTACCTTGGGACACCTAACCCATGGACCCTGTCACTATAGTTGGAGGTTCCTTCAGGACCTGCTTCACCACATTACTGGTGTGTACATCACTTGAGCTGGGGACTGTCAGACCCTGTCATCTGGCTGACTATTGGTGACCTGCCCTGCTGTTTGATGCCTGTGGTTGGACTGCCTATATTGTTCTACAGAAGAGTCAGCTGTCTGCTTCCTTGACTTGCATCCAACAGCCCTCGTGAATTGAAGGACTTCCAGTATATTAAGTATCTCATGGAAGTTAGATAGTTGAACTGAGCCCTCTGTACTGTTCTGTGGACCAGTTAGCTGTTTATTTCATTGTGTTATATTTATCTATCTAGATAAAGCTATAAAATCATAAGTGTCATGGTTTTGTTTCTCTATAGAACCCTGTCTAACACTGATCTCAACCATGAAATTCAGAAACCTACGTAATGGTCTTCTGCAGATCTGGCTGTAGGTTTTTGTTGGCCCATAAAGAGGCAGCCCTGGGCTACAAAATCCAATGGGGATACAAAAGTCACCCATGTATCTCTCTGGAGGGAAAAAGGCCTATTTCAGGAAAGATGATTATTATTTCTGAAGTTATATTATTAATCTAATATGAAAATCTCTATCCTGTAATAAGTGGATTTAATTCACTAAAATGTTTTAATATTTTGAAGATTTTCTGATATCTTATTCTTACATTTCTTTTTCTTTTATTTTGCAGCTTAAAATTATAGAGGGAAATTAATCTAGCCTTATGGGCTTTAGGAAGGGATAATAAAGTTTAAAAGAGACATGATGTATTATTTTTTATCTTTATTATCCCTTTCTAAAGCCCATAAGGTTAGATTAATTTCCCTCTATAATTTCATTCTATTTATCCATCAGTATATCATTTGTCAAATAATATTAGTACCTCAGCATCGGCTCATCTCTTTTTGTTCTCTCACGGTCCATTGCTATCCTTATTGGTGTCATCTAAGGTTGGTATCTTATTTCTAAATTTTGGGATATACCTCATTGTTCCAGTTGATCCTTTTTTTTTTAAATCAATTTATTGGGGCTCATACAATTCATCACAATACATAGATCAATTGCGTAAAGCACACCTATACATTTGTTGCCCTCATCATTCCCAAAAGATCCTTTTTCTTAAAACTCCACTAATTCATTGATTATTCCTAAAAACAAAACAAAACTTAGTTCCTTTCCCTAAGACTTATTTCTCTCTTGATGAAATATTTCCTATAATACTCTTTTCAAAGAAATTTTGGGGGTTGATAAACTTTTTTGTATTTTATTACTCATATTTCACTCTGACACATAAATGTAGTTTACAGAGATGTAAAAATCTAGCGTAAGGTTCCATTTTGAAAATAAGACTTGCTATACTTTCTTGTGTCCAAATTTGCTGATGAAAAGACTGATGTCAACTTCATTCATGATTCTCTGTGTGTACTATCTCTCAGAAATCTAAAACTCTGTGTTGTAATCTGGGCTTGACCACCCTGGTGACCAACATTTCACCCCCTAGGCAACTTTGGCTCTTAGAAACCCTCCCTGGGCTTTCACCAGCCTGGTTGTCACCTAGCAGATCACCAAGTTTTTCCTTCAAGAGCCTATAGGAAGGGGTTGGACTACCGGCTTTTTGACTGAGTGCTGCACTGTTAGCACTAGCCACGGCCTTGTAAGAAATGGTGACATGTTAAGCTCCCATGTAGTACTAAAGAACATCTATAATTATTTTTGATAATGTAAAGATTTCTTTTACAATTCTATTAGTTTGTTGAATTCCCCAGGGTCTTAGATAGCTTAATATTAATAATATTGCAACATTTTTTATTTCAAAATAAGGAATATACTGCAATACTCCATTTGTATTTTACATACACACATTCATAAACCTACTGAGACATTTTGCTGTTTTTTTACTAAAATTTTTAGGTTATCCTGAGATACATAAGCATCATCTTCCAGGAAAACAATGGAAAATTATTTGAGACAGTATTCTATTTTCAGGTTTAACTGCAACTTAATTTGATGTATGCACCCTAATTTCCAATTATTTCTAAGAATGTGATGTTCGTTACCATGCGGTATTTTAATGCAGCCTTGTAATCTGTGGACTGTTCTTCACCAATGAAGACACAAAAATAACGTAGGACTTGCAATAAATAGAAACAGTTCTACATGGCAGCTTTGTGATGCTTTCAATTATCTTAATAGAACCGAAACTAAGCTTTAAAGACCTGTTCAGACCTGCTTATGGTACGTAATGGAATGACTAGCGATGCTGAATGTAAGAACTTACAAGGATTTTTGAAGCGGTGACAATGTGGTCATGCATCTTCTCCACAGGAAGACTCCAGACATGCTTGACAAGCATTTGTTCTACATTATGTTTGTGTACTTCAGACAGCAGGGACAAAGGTTGTGCCTTGAAAACATGAGTTCACATTTCAGAAACCAGAACTCACTTTTCTATGTTCCTCGAATTAAGTCACCTTACTATGAATAGTACCTGACAAGGGCATATGAGATTCTACCCATAGAATTCTTTTGAATACTCAAAATGAAATTTCCTTTTTGAAAACAAAATGGAAATGTTCAAAATTTAATACATTTTAATCAAGTAACCCCTGCATATTGAGGGTTAGTATGTAGTGAGGAGCTGCTCTTGTAGAGATTACATGTAAGAGGGATCAGGAAAACTAAGCAGGTAAGTTTGGCTAACAAACTTCTATTAACAATAAAATAAAACAGCAATGACAAAATAACAAGGGAAAGGTGGATTTCTTTAAATAGGGTGATCAATAAAGGCACATTGAGGTAGTTGTATCAATTGAAATAAATCCAGAGTATAGAAAAGCCAGCCTGGAAAACATTGAGAAAAAATAAAAATGAAAAACTAAACTCTCATAGAGACCCTATTGTACAGAGTAGAACTGCTCCTTCAGGTTTCCAGGACACTAAATATAGGAACATACTGACTTACCTTTCTCCTAAAATGCAGCTGGTGGACTTGAACCACTGGCCTTGCAGTTAGCTGCCCAATGCTTAATCTACTGTATCACCATCCTCCTTAAACCTTATGGAAAAAAACAAAAACAAAAAATCAATCTCACTGCTATAGAGTTGATGCTGACTCATAGAAACCGTATAGGACAAGGTAGAACTGCCCATTACAGAAGGGTCGCGGGGAAGAGATGAGCCAGTCAGGGCGCAGTGTAGCAATGATGAAACACAACTTTCCTCTAGTTCTTTAATGCTTCTCCCCCGCCGCCGCCCACACAATCATGATCCCAATTCTATCTTACAAATCCAGCTAGACCAGAGGATGTACACTGGTACAGATTAGAGCTGGAAATACAGAGAATCTAAGACATAGACCCCTTAGGACCAATAATGAGAGTAGCGATACCAGGAGGGGAAAGAGAAAGTAGGGTCGAAAGGGGGAACGGATCATAATGATCTACATATAACTCCCTCCTTGGGGGATGCACAACAGAAAAGTGGGTGAAGGGAGACATTGGACAGTGTAAGACATGAAAAAAAAATAATTTATACATTATCAAGGGTTTGTGAGGGAGGGAGGGGGAATAATTAGGAGCTGATACCAAGGGCTCAAGTAGAAAGCAAATGTTTTGAGAATGATGGTGGCAACAAATGTACAAATGTGTTGGACTCAATGGATGTATGTATGGATTGTGATAAGAATTGTATGAGCCCCCAATGAAATAATTTTTTAAAATAATAATAATTTGGCAAATATCTCAACAGACTGATCACTAGATTTAGCTTATAGTCAGGTTTACTACAAATATATTTGTCCTTTTTTAACTGCATTTTCAGCAAACAAGCTACATTTTATCTTGTTGCATCACTGACCTTTGAAGAAAAGCAGTTTTAGGAAACTCGTCTTGAAAATGCAGACATGGCCTATCTTTGGAACGAGCCAGTAATGGGAAAAAGTTATTAATATTATAATCATCTGCAATCAGTAGGAAGAGAATGTATACTAAAAATAATTATAGTTTGAAGTTTTAAATCATTCTCTTTGTACCTCCGTATGAATATAAGATCAGCTTTCCATGGTGACCAATCTAAATTTAGATACAAGGTATGGAAGAGTTGTTTTTTCATAATATGATGATATCCAGTTTTCATGAAATAAATGATTTAAAGAGACATAACACAGTACTACAAATGTGAAACTGGACCTTTTGGATGGACATAGCTCTTGCCATGTTCCGGTTCAGATTTAAGGAATAACACATCAATTGCACTTGGAAATTTAAGATGGCATTCAACTCCTAATCAGGATGAGAAAATGTCCAGTGGTTTTCCTTCAGTGAAATCTTTTTTTTTCTTTTCTTTTTTTTTGAAGAGTCCCCCAAGGGGGTGCACTGTTCCCGGAAGTACTGCAATACCAGGTCGATGCGTGGAGTGGACGAAGCAAGCTCCTATTCCATCTCCCTGCTCCAAAAATCCATTTAACATATTGTCCTCGGATAGAGGACGTATCAGATATTAAACTGATAAGACTTCAGTGAAATCTTATAAGATTTCTGTGGCCACTAGCCATATAGAGTTGTTTGTTTTTTTTTCTCGAAATTTTGCCCAGATCAATTATGTCTTGGCTTATTGTACATTTGAATATGGAAGGGAGACAAAACAATTGAGATCATTTGAGTCACAGAGAATGCTGAAGAATCAATGGCTGGCCAGTGAGCACTAATTCTCTATCGCTCATCAGACATCTGACATAAATGCCCAGAGGAGAGTGCTGGGAAGCCCACACTGGAGGCCGAATCCAGCAATTTCTTTGGATGCATTCACTCATAATCTGAAACAGATTTAGCATATTAGACATAATTTGGCTTTAATAACTGTCTTTGAGCACAGACCCTAGGGTTGTTTTTAAAAAAATATTCATTTGAAATTTAATTCTTTGAGGGGGGAAAGTACAGAATTAGTCTTGGCTACAATAATATGCCATATGCTTGAAGAATACGTTGAACTAAATACATCTTTATGGTAGTTTGATATAAAGTAACTACAATGTTAAGTATTTTTCTGATCCAAACAGGTACAAAATTCACTAAAAGCTCAAAACCAAACCATGGTCAGTTTAGTCAATTCAGACTTATAGTGACCTTGTACAGGGTCTGAGGCTGTATATCTTTACAAGAGCAAATATTCTCTTCTTCTTGGAGTAACAGCTGGTGGGTTTGAACCATGGACCTTGTGGTCGGCCATTCAAAGCTTACCCTACAGTGCCTGAGAACAAATCTTCTGGTGTTTTCGTTTGGTTATTCTATGTTATAACTATTTAAAACTCAAACAGATATTTTTTTCTTTCTTTAAGTAGCACTTAATGCATATCCCTTGTCTATCAGGTTGACATCCTGTGCTGGCTTGTATGTTGCTACGATTCTGAAAGCTGTGTCACAGATGTTTGAAATTCCAGCAGGTGTGACAACGGTCTGAGGCATTTCTAAACTAGGAAGAAAGCCTTGGTGGTGTACTTCCAATAAGTAGCCAATTAAAACCAGATAGACCACAATAGAATACTGTTCAATCTAGTGCTGGTAGATTAGCTCCTCAGGTTGGAAGACATCCAAATCATAAACATACCGGGCCTGCAAAAATGGACACATTCACACCACCCATTGTGAAGATGATGGAGTACTGGGCAACACTTGGCTCTGTTGCCTTAGGTCACCATGAGTCAGAGCCAACCCTACAGCAACTACTCACGACCAGGATGATCTCATACTACTACCAAGCTCTCCTTCAATGCAGGCTTTGTTTTACTCATTACAGAAAGCACATCTTTTTACTAATCATTTTAATATTTCAAATTTAACTTGAAGAGGGTAAGAACACTCTCTTGAAAGCAAGAATTAAGTTGTAAAAATAAGCGAACATGTTTAATAAAAAAGGCAAAAAGGATTAAAGACAGGTGTCCTGGTGGTAGAGCAGTTATGAGTTGGGCTGCTAACTGCAAGTTCAGCAGTTTGAAATCAATAAATACTCTTTGGGGAAAAGACAGGGTTTTCTACTCCGATAAAGAGTTACAGTTTCAAAAACCCACAGGGGCCATTCTACCAATTTCCATAGGGTCACTGAGTCAGCATAGACTTGTTAGCAATACGTTTGAGAGTTTTTAAGAAAGGATTAAAGCTGAAAATTAATTTGGATGAGATACATTGCAAAATTTCATATTCTTTAAAAAAAATTGTTAAACCTCAGAATAAGCCCCATCATGCATTTGATACAGAAATGAATTGTTTTCTAAAACAGACATTTCTTTAAACTATCCACATTTTTAATTTAAAGGCATTTCTCCTATTTTATAAGTGTTTAACTCAACATTTTCTGTAATACATAGAGAGAAAATCATCGATTAAATAATGAACTGTTTAAGAGATAAATTACTATAAGTTCAGAGTAAAAAAGGAGTGTTCATTTTACTAAATCTTTCTTCTCCCAAATTTTTAAAATAGTTGTATCATTAGTGTTTTTTAAATATGAACAAAGTTACAGTGAATGTTTCAGGAATTGTATAAAAACATTTTTAAAAAGCTTTGTAGAAAGTAGAGCTTTATAAAAATCTACTTCTATCATCTGTAAATATTTTTTGTTTTTTTTGTAATATAGAAAGTATGTATTTTACTAAATTGTTTTCACAAATTGTAAATATACACTACTTATAAAATTTCCATCAAAAAGCATACATATTTTGGGAACATTTTGTTAGGCTTGCAATTCTATTCAGATTATACTCTAAACAGATAACTTTTTATTTTACATTTGAAGTTTAAAGTCTTGTCTCTTCTAGATGGTTTGTGTGCTTCAAAATGGAATAAACTTCCATCATCATTTTAAAAAACTAAAGTGAAACTATAGAAATGGTGTGTTAGGTGTTCTCTGTCGAGTCAGTTCCGACTGAAAGCAACACAAGCTGCTTGGTTATCGCCATCCTCACAATCCCTGCTATGCTGGAGTCCTTGTTGCAACCACTGCATCAGCCTATCTTGTTTAGGGTCTTCCTTTTTTAGATGACCTTTCACTACCCCAAACATGTTCTACCCCAAGGGCTGGTCCCTCTTGATAACGTGGCCACGTATGTGAAACAAAGTCTTGTCATCCTTCTTACTAAGGATCATCCTGGTACTTTTCCCAAGACAGGCTCTTCATTCTTCTGACAGCCCTTGGTATACTTAATATTCTTTGCCAACACTGAAATCCACAAGCATCAATGATTCGATCTTCTTTATTCATTGTCCACCTTTCACCTGCATCAAAGACCATTGATTATGGTTTTGATGGAGTGCATCTTACTCCTCCAGGGACATCTCTACTCTTTAGCACTCTGAGGAGGTCTTTGCAGCAGACTAGTCCAGGGCAGTTCAGCGTTTTGATTTTCTGACGGCGTTCTGACATGGGTTGCCATAGTGGCTGCACCAATGGGCTCAACCCTCTGAAGGAGTATGAAGATGGTGCAGGGCCAGGCAGCATTTTGTCTTGTTGTGCATTGGGTCACTGTGCATCAGAACCAACTGGATGGCATCTAACAACAACAGAAAGTGATAGTGATGTTCCTTTGTTCCCTCTGCCCTCCCCAGTAGCCATCAAAGAACACTGCTTTCTGGGTATCTATGTATTCTTGTCTTTTTCAAAATGAGTTCAGGATTGATTTGTGTGGTTCACTCAGCATAATAATCTTCATATTATACTTCCAGAACTTATCATTATTCTTGATAATTTTAGAGTATTTCACTCTATATAGGTATCACAATCTGTTTACTCAATCATCCACTGCTGGGCACTTAAGTTGTTTCCATCTTTTTGCTCTTGTGAATGCTGCTGCAGTGGATTTAGGCGTGCACGGGGCTATTCATGTCACCACTCTTAGATCTTGAGGGTATAAAGAAGGAATGAACTGCTAGGTCATAAGGTATGTATTTGTAAGGAGTTGAGAAAATGCCATAACATTTTCCACACTGTTTATAATATTCCATAATCCCACTAGCTGTGTATAAGGTTCCAGTTTCCCCACAATTTTACCAGTATTTGTTGTTT